GAAGATCAGAGGACCAGGTCTGATGGAGAGCTGGATCCACAGTCTGAAGGTCCTCACAGAGACGACGGAGAGCTGCTCCGAGTTCAGAGCCGAGGATGAAGCTGCTCACACCAAATATTCACTTCAAATACTTTCACCTCACTGTGTTCAGCTGATATCCATCCACTGCTCGGTCTGCTAGCACCACCCGCAGCACCACCCGCAGCTCCAGCAAAGCCTGAACTTGCGCCACGCAGTCATCTGACCCATGGTGTGCGTCGCTGAGTGGGGCGCCTTAACAAGTAATGGCTTTGCTTGCAGAGTCGGGGACAGAGCTGCTTTTCCACAGTTAATGTTCCTGACAGAAAAATGAAATGTGTTTTTGTTGAAAGGCCTAATTATTGCATATAGCTTTCAGGAAATAGCCACAGCCTTTTACTCTGCATCATAACTCGTCCTGGCTCCGAGCTGCTCAGCTGCGTGCCTGTACGTCAGCACTCACCGGCTCAGCACCGGACCGCTGAGTTTAGGCGCCAGTCTTCAGTCACCGTTCGTCTGCGTGATCGCTCCGCGTCCTTGGACTCACGTTCCTCGCCGAGGACATTTGGTTGTTGCGGTGCTCTGTCGGTGTCAGTGCTGGTGAAGCGGCCCGTGTTCACAGACCTGGAGAATCTGTCATAATACAGCATCATGGCCGAGCGCACAGAGGCAGCAAGCGGTTCAGTTAAAGCTGAACAACAGTACACCCGGTCACTATTACAAAGTAAATGTGACGAATGTTGTCAGAGTTTCTCTCATGTTGTCAAAGCTGCTTGAAGCTCCATCGAGCTGCAAGCTGCCCGAGCTCGAATGACAGGAAGCCGCCATTTTACCAGCGTTTCCGGTGAATGAGCTCAGTGACCCTGAACAGCTGATCATGGGAGTCATGACCCTGATTGAGGAGAACGTGAACGAGAATAATCGATTATCTCAGAGGCGTCCTGTCACAGGTTTGTGTGTGTGTGGGCTGCTACAGCTCCCACTGGAGCACCATGAAACAGACTGAATATATTCCTCTGTGCATTGCCTGCACGCTTTCACTGAACACCGCCATGAATAAGAACAGACACACACAGGGCTGCATAATGTCATGTAAAAGCTGAAACTGAGCGCACACACACACCTGCAGCTCCAGTCGCTGCTGACGCTCGTGCAGAACAAACTCCATCACCCTGCGCCGTCACCCAAAGTGACAACAGCAGGTTGACGCACCCGGCGCGCATACATTAAACCTCGAGACGCTCGCCGTTCCACTCGACGCGCTCACGTCTGATTGCTCACATTCTCGTAATGACACGCTCCGTCTCATCGCTCACACGCTGCGCTGCACCTGACACGGAAGCGGCGTCACGTGTAGGTCGGTTGACGCTGTCGCAGATCAGGGCCGAGCGACAGGAACTGCAAATCACCTCCACTCGTGGTTTTACCGTTGGGCGGTGACGAAATACCAAACGTGAGCGAGTTTATTTGAGGAGCTGCTCGGCTCAGCGGCCTCAGCTCTGGTGGCCTTCTTGAAGTAAGCGAGCGTAAGCGCCCGCTGTCCAAACAGTGAATTATCCCCATCCGCAGCGCGGTTTAGTGGCGACGCGCTGCCGGAGAGGCTGTTCGCTGAAGAGTGCTGCCGGCAGCAATTAAGAGCACCTAATCAGGAACATCCCTGAGGGAGGGCCGTCCCGGCGCTCACACGGCACACGCTGGCGCAGAGCTGGATCGAGTCGTGCGTGTGAAGAAGAAAAAGGGGATCTTCCAGAGGTCCTTTCAGTGGTACTGACGATCGTTTGTTCTGGTAAACAGCAGCGATTACAGCCACGTTTCATCCAGCTTATCTAAACCAATTAGGACGATCTTTTTGCCTTTGAAGTTTGCTCCTCTGCAGCTGTAGTCTCCATGAATTTAAAGCCATTACAGTGGATTACAAAAGCACTCCTGCAGCTTAATCCACTCTCCAGCTACTGTATATGCTTAGCTTGTTAACAACACACAAAGGGCAGCACGTGGCTAAATAAGGCTACATGCTCGACTCCATCTGACACCACTCTGGTTCTTATGTCTCATCTTCAGTATTTAATATTCTTTCAAACTGAGATACAACATTTGGAAAGACATCCTAGAGCGTCAGTGATCCCGCTGCGTAGCAGTAACGAGCTCTTCTCCTAAGCAAACCAATCTCAGCACATGTGTGCGTGTGATTAAAGGCTTTGCTTCATGAAAACAACGTGCAGTTAAACATTTATTTATTTAACGTTATTCTACACACAGTGTCTTCAAGGCTTTTTGCACGTCCCCAGTAACGCTGATGCTTTTACATCAAACAGTGCAAACTGCAGCGTGCATGCTTGGGTTGCAGCAGAAGCAAACAGAGCTGTCAGGCAGCGGTGACTCTGACCCCAGTTAGGGTTAGAGCCTTTCTTCTGGGTTCATCAAATACTTGCAGTTAGGTGAGGTTACCTGCAGGAGCATTTCCACAGCATGCCTAATCCTTACTGAGCACCTAAACTGAAGCAGACTGCACGGAAATGTCAAAGGAAACAGCAAGTGGACATGAAGACAGCCTAAGTAGGAATGCAAAGCTTCCAGATGGGACATGAACTGAGGTCAAAAATGAAACAGTGACCCTTGGAGGACATTATCCTAAAGAGAACTGCTAGTTCTTTGCAGTTTTCACTAAATGGTTCTTACAGAGCTCTTCTACAACATGTGTCAACCTGCCATTCACAGCATCCGTGCGAGTATTTTCACTGATGTATGGGATCACATTCACACTCAGGTTCCAGCGTATTGCTTGAAGACACTTTAGCATGCACGCTGGCTCAGACCACCAACCCTCTAATTGGCTACCTCGGCCACCCATGGAATGAGAATAAGTGGCTGCTTCAGTTCGAGCAATGCAACATTTTGTATTTGGAGCATGTTTTAATGTTTGCACTTTGTTCTGTTGCCTGTTAAAGAAAAACTGAAGCCAGTTTCTGCATTAGCTTCAGTTAGCAACAAGCTAACTACTCACATATGGCTGATGAACGGATGGAGTTGTTATATCGTCGACCTATTTCCCTTCCTGCCTCCACCTGGGTTTATTTGGGTTGGACCTGTGGGTTATGACATCCGTCTGGTTCCTGCTGGATTCCTCAGATGGCACGTTTATGCAGCTAATCTGCTAATCTCCTCTGCAGAGAGTTTACTCTCCACCTGTCTGTCAGCGGGCTTTGCTGGACCCCACCTGCCACTCATTTCTCCATCTTCCTCCTCACCCTGGGATTTCTACAGAGCCATCTTTTCTGCAAACATGGTTTAATGAAGCCTTTACCTCTGTGTCCATGTCTGCTGTGCTGCTCAGGAGTCTGTGGAAATCCTGACAGCTGGACTTCATGTGCTGTGAGGAAAAGTCCATCTCAAGCTGTTGAGATGTTTCAGTTACTGAAGCTGAAGGCGCTGCAGTAAAAGTCTGCAGAGCATCTCAAAGAGGAAACCCAGCATCTGCTGATGTCCACGAGTTCTTCATCCAGTCAGTGGCTGCAGACCATTTTTATCCAAAACACTAAATCCAAATAAAACAAAAATAATGTTGTGCAATTAGTCCCAGCAGGTGGGCTTCATCTTAGGACCGCCCCTCACACCCTGAGCAGTCGGCGTGGGGGCGGAGGTCACCTTGCTGAATCAAAGCTGACGTCAGCTGCGCCGTGACTGCTTGATTTAAAATCCGCGGTGGCACCATCCAAAGGTTAAACTCCAAAAACTCCACCGTCGTCCCGACATTTATGGATCCAAGTTTGAAAAGCTCTTCACTCTGAGGGTGAATGCTGATCTTTGCCCATGTGACCGCCACTTACCACAGGACGGAGGTTTGTCCTGCGAGGACGTGACTGACAGTGGAGCAGCTGAAGTGGACTCCGAGTCACAGTTATCCTGCCAAACTGAAGTCTGAAGATGCTCGAGGACTTTAACGACCTGCACAAAACCTGAAAGCTTTGCATTTACGATCAGTACTGTGTTTACACCGACGACATCAGCAGGTTCGACTCAGCGGTCGGCCGTCAGTCTCTGATCGGCTCTTTCACTGGCGCTCAGCAATTAACCGAGCAGCGATGATGAAGGCAAACACGAGCTGATGAAAGATTTGCTCACAATCAGGCTCCACCAAACAATTAATAAACATTTCAGCTGCAAATTGGACCACATGGGACGTTTTAGGATGCGAGTACTTTTCATCAGATGAATAATTTATCACTCGAATGAAACAATTTCCTTACTGGTTCCTTCATGCTCGTGTGTGTGTGTAAGCTCAGCTACACGCTGATGTTCAGTTTCTAACAGCAGGCTAACTTGGAACTTGACTGTTATTCACCGGCTGATGCAAACAGCCTGATGCTGTGTGCATGAATGCATATTCAGCTCACTCGTATATATTTATACATATTAATGTGCACCTGTGTGTGTGTGTGTGTGAGAGAGAGAGAGATGGGGGAGGTGTGGAGTTGGTGGAGAGTGTGAGGAGGCCGGGGAGTGATGGATGAAGAGAAAGATGGAGGGATTATTGGGGTTCAACCCCACACTGTCGATTTTATGTCAGGCCCTCTGCCTCTCAGCTTCAGGCGCCGGACTGTGATGACTTCCAGGTTACCGAACGTGGATGTGTGTGTGTGTGTGTGTGTGTGTGTGTGTGTGTGTGTGTGTGTGTGTGTGTTTTACCCGATGGTGTAAATGAGCGATCGCTGCAGGAAAGGAGGAATGAGAAGATGGGAAAGGAAAGCGAGGAAAGTGTGAGAGAATAAAAATGAGGGGTGCAAACGTCTGATGGATGGGTCGTTCAAAAGTGATGGATGGAGGTGACGGAGGGGCAAAAGTGGTGATGGATGGAGATGATGGCAGTGAGAAGAAGTCCAAATGAGGTGGAGTGAAAGAGACGGCAGCGAGAAAATGCAGAAAAAGCAGCGGGCTGAAGGAAAAGAGCAACACACCCCGTACCCCTGCACACACACACTTACCCGGCTGTCTCTCCCCGGCACAGTTACGGCAAAGAAGCCGGCTGAAGGTGGAGACGAAGGAGGGAGGAAAAGACGGAGAGAGCGAGCGAGGGGACGACACACGGCGGCAGTCGCTCGCCCGCGCGTGCAGCACAGACGTCTCAGGAAGAGGAAAAAGGAGCAACAGACACAACAGCAGCAACTCCTCGTGACCAGCGAGCGAAGCTTCACTTCAGCCTCACACACACACATTCAGCTCCCTGTCGCAGTGACACCGTCAGCTCTCCTCAGGCTCAGCGTGTGAGGTGACAAACGCACACACGGACCTCCAACACCTCCTCTTGCTTCCTCAGCTGTGCCTCCTGCAGCTGTGTGCCTGTTTATCCAGTAACACAGCAGGAACGCGGCTCTTCTTCTTCTGCGTCTTTATTCCAGTTAATTATGCTCCGGTGTGCTGCGGGGAAGGCTCTGGCGGCTCCGCGTCCTTCACTGTCGGACTAACTGGCTGCCGCTTCACAGCGCAGAGGCTGGACTGCACTCAGCTCTCCCCCCTTTCTCTCTCTGACTCCAGCCCCCTCCTACCTCCCTCTCCCCTCCTACCTCCCTCTCCCCTCTGCTGCTGAATGTGTCTCCATCCCTCCTTCAGCTCCCTCTCTGACTTTTCCACTCTGAGAGCTGAGGGTTGGAGTTTGACTCACTGATAGCAGCTGCACAGGTACCCGACCGCATCACACCCTTTTCTCTGTCTCAGAGTGTGTTTGTGCCTGAATAAAATAGAGCCACTGCGCTACAACGATGCGTTTTAGCCAGTTAATTCACGGCCAGCAACTTCTGCTGAACCTCAGATGAGTTCATGCACTTCATATGAAAGATTCACAGACTCAGAGCCTCTGGGTCTGAAAATGAAGCCAGAAGCATCGTAAACCTGTGGTCGTTCTCGTGGACAGCAGGGGGCGACTCCTCTGTATTGTAAGGCCGCAGTCAACACTTGATGAGTCTCAGCCAGGTCTCAGTATTTACCTGATGCTTGTGCTGATGGTTGGCATGTTGATGCTGTAACTGAAGCTGGTGTTTTGAACATAGGTGCACGAGGTCATTTACCATAAAGAGTGATGAAGGAAACACCAGGAGTCTGATACATGTTTGCTAGTTTACTTTAAAACTGTCAAAGCAACGACTGATTGCACCACCTCAGGGTGGAGGTGGTGGTGTCAGGGTCAGCTGAGTTGAATCCACTGATTGTTTTTTGGTTCAGGCACCGACACCAGCCTTAGAGGAGATCACAGACTGGACTGAAATAAAGAAGTAATCTATTACACAGTTACTTTTCCTACAGTAATGCAATCTGCTACAAGATGACTTTCATTACCTTCAGTAAGTCACAATGTCATCGACCTTATGGCCAAAATGTTTGAGGCACATCATCTACCCTGCACTTTGAGCTTCATGTTGATAAACCCGATGAGTCCAGCCGTTCTGACTCCACGAGACCTCCGAATGCTTGACATGTGCTGTTAAGCGTCGTGCGTCGCAGAGGAATGGTCTTAATGGCAGAGGTGGGACCAAGTCATTGTTTTGCAAGTCTCAAGTAAGTCTCAAGTCTTTATCCTCAAGTCTCAAGTCAAGTCTTAAGTAATGTCAGGCAAGTCAGAGTCGAGTCTCAAGTCACTGGTGTAAAAGTCCGAGTCAAGTCACAAGTCTGAAACTTTGAATTTCAAGTCCTTTCGAGTCTTTAAAAAAAACAAACGAAAAAATAATGTTGCAGTTATGCTAAATGTAAATATTAGACCATGTAATTTTAAAATCTGTGTTTTTCTCAACACATGACAAAATAGTGAACTTAGAAAATATACACAAATTGTGAAATTGCACCTCTTTAAAATGCAGCTCAATTAAACTTAGATCCAAGAATAATTTTCACCGACAGTTCTGAGATAAGCTGCATGTTATTCTTGGATGCGGTTGTAGGACTGGCTTTAAAATCGCATGACAAAAATATCATACATATTAAAAAAACCTGTATCACCAACGTAGCCTGGACAACATTTGCTAGTTAGATGAAGTCAGCTATCTCATCTTAGCATATTTATATGCATATTTATAATCATACGGTTCTTGGAGTGAGTGCATACACTCATGAAGTTTAGTAACTTCAGGTCACTGCAACAAGCCCAGGTACAGTTTACCGACGGATGGGTGCAGGACCTTGAAATGCACCGTGTAGAACGAAAGACCATCGTACGTATCATAAGTTTACCAGTCTCACAAATCGTCGTCATAAATACACATTCGTTAACAGTTTATTAATAGGACCTTTGAGCTCAACGGTAATTAATTAGTAGTGGAAATAATTTCTGGTAGCATCACAGAAATGTAGCAGTGACAATAATATTGTATGCTGTAATCGTACTGGGCAATTAGTGATACAAAAAACCTGTTTTATCCTGTGAATAAAAGTATATGTTTTTGTCAATGTACCATAATAACAGAAGCGAAACGCAATATTGTGTCAGGACAATTCACTATTTATGCACAATAAACAAAGGAGCATAGCGCGACAATTTCTGTTCAGCGCCAGACTTGCTTGTAACCTATATCACCAATTATGTTAAGAAAAATGACGCATTAACTACAACAGCAGACTGACCTTCGTGTAAATGCTTGGAGCAGACTAACCTGTGAGCTGGAGTGTTCTGAGACGTTATATTTGGTCTTTGAATGGCTGCAATCCAGGCCACCCGTCACCTGTTTGTTACTTCGGAAACGTGGCTCGAACAATTTCTCTTCAACGACGTAATCCGATAACAACCGATCTCTTTACCCGTCGGCTTCCCGTGGCTGTCATGTGACCGGCTATTGCAGTTAATAATACAACAGCTTCTTGACATTTTTGTGTTTCTTTTTATCGCTGTGTGACTGATTTCAATTGAAAGCCTGCGTGCGCTAGTACCGCTTGCCACGAGTTCCCAGAATCCTTTGCGGTTCTACCCGTGAATGACGTCACATTTTCAATCTCCATATAATATGCATGTTAAATTTTATATTTGGGGTAAAATATCAAGTCTTTTCAAGTAAACCGGTTCAAGTCCAATTCAAGTCCCAAGTCATTGGTGTAAAAGTCCAAGTCAAGTCACAAGTCTTAGAACATTTTTTCAAGTCAAGTCTAAAGTCATAAAATTAATGACTCGAGTCTGACTCGAGTCCAAGTCATGTGACTCGAGTCCACACCTCTGCTTAATGGTTTGGCCTAACTGTATTTGCTCCCCCAGGTGAACCCGCGCTCGACGAAACTGAGAGACCGTCTCTGCCACATGAAAATGCTGCACAGAAACAGATCACCTGATGTGCTGCACAAAGCTCCGAGAAAATCTGTCTGTTGCATTCCCAAATGAGCCAAAGCGTACAGTTACACACTCTGCTGCGCTCACACAAACACACACCCACATACGGCCAATGAAACAAAGTCTACAGCTTCGAAGGTAAACAGTCCAGGACTGACAGTGGAAGAGCCTCAGGGCGAGATCCCTCAGCGGGGACTAGCTGTGTGTGTGTGTGCTGCTATGAGTCACTGCATAAAATCTCCATCTTAACTCATTTCTTCTGTTTCTGAGGACAAAAATCGTATTTTCTTGAAGCTGCATTTTATGCCTGGAGGCAGAAAAATGTGATTTGGTGAGAGCAGAGCTCACAGTTACTCAGAGGCCGGCTAATGCTGGGAATAAGGAAAAGAACTACAAATCCAGCTGTGCTCTCAGTTTCCACATCACATCGTGCACATACGTATGTTTGTATGCACGTACCTGCATGCACCCCATCTCCTCCTTAGCAGGTGGGCCCGTCTGAACAAAACACACGTTTACATGCTTAGATTGACATTTATCATAATTCCACTTCTCCTGGTTTTGCTCTATATCCAGTCGTTAAGTGGTGACGTGACGAATCCTACTTCCGGGTCTAAAGTAGTCTGCGTTTAATATGGCTTTTGTGTTGTTAACATGTTTAATGTTTTATATTTTCTTCTATCTCAAAAAGCTCCTAAAACAGTCAGTGATCACTGTTGACCTCCCTCGGCTTTTATTACCGCTAATCATTTATTTAAGCTCAGTTTTTAAAACCTTAGGATGTAACTACAGCCCAGCCCATGCAGCAGTATATGAATGACTAACCTCGTATTGTGGATGGATTATCTCAGTTGTTCTCCTGGCTGAAGTTTGGTCCTTTTACAGCATCCTGCCATGCGATTACATTTGTTCCTGACCACCGAGAACACTCACGTTAACTTTTATCGAGTGGAAAAAAAGTTAGCTTGTTTATATTATGCTAACATAGCTGTGTCGCTAGCGGTCACGTAGCACATCATTATATACCAGCTAGCCCAACTTCAGTAACCCTACAAACGTCACTGCTGTTTAGTTTTCTGTCTTCATTTATGTTGGAAGTGATAACAGAGCTGTACGTTTTAATTTGTTTCCAAAACCCCGCAGTCAGGACATGCTATATTGTATTTAGATAGAAGCTAGCGAGCTAACTCCCTGCTAACTTCTAACTCCGTTAAATGTCATAAATTCTGTTTTCATCGATGCCTGTTACTCTGTCACCAAAATTCGGATCTGTGACAGAATTTAGTTGAAGTTGCTGTTAAGTACAGAATAATTTGAAAAAGCTCCAGAGGTCACAGGTCAGAGATAGATGCAGCTGTGTTTAAAGCTGTGTGTGATGTCAGCACAGTTGTTCCTCTGCTTGCAGGAGAAGTCTGTGGGAAAACTGGCGCCCCCTATCTGTGAGCTTGTTGCTGATGAGCGTGTGGGTCCACCTGTAGTAAACCACGCTGCTTATTAGAGCCAGAAAGAAGGGGGTAAGCTCATTGGCTTACAACGTGTGACTGACACATCCTGAGCCAATGAGACAAAAGCTGCAATGGCTACTGGGGAAACGCCCACATGAAGGCGTCATGATGATTGGTGTGTTGTCGAGGATTTGTGCCTTGGCGGGAACGCTGTAGCTACATCTTGCCTTTGAAACATCAGCGCCGCCTGCAGCTCCTGTGATTGGCCTGTTCAGCATCAATGTAAGGGCTCGTAAATATCAGCAAATTCCTGCAGGGAGATGAAACGATCAGAACGGACAAAGCCATGGAGAAACCTAGACGGGAGCCAGGACCCTGAGGGAGAACGTCCCAGCGTGTTATTGCATCTGTCAGCTGGCACCGCCCACAGGAATGACTGAGGTCGTCTCTACACAGACTCCTGCAGACGTCAGCGTTTTCTCAGAGTCTCCAGGCAAGTATACTTTATTTTCATTCAGATGGACAAATGAATGAATTGTGGTAGTAAAGAAACAGGCCTGTAATTTGTGAAGTGGCGTCTATCCCCGGTTTTATACAGTGGCACAACTTTAGCTATTTTCATGTTGTTTGGCACTTGTCCCGTCTGAAATGATAAGTTGCAAATATATGTTAGAGGTCCTACAATTCCTTCAATGACCTTCTTGACGATTTTCATGTC